CAGCTCAAGGCAAGCGCTCTACCACTTGAGCTACAGCTCCACTTCCGGTTTTCTGGTGGTTTATTGGAGATAAGAGTTTCACAGACTTTCCTGCCCAGGCTGGCTTTGAACGGCAATCCTTAGACCTCAGCCTCTTGAGTAGCTAGGATTACAGGCATGAGCCACCGGCACCCTGCGGCTTTTTCTCCTTAACAAGAGTTTCTACTAAAAGGAATGCCTAAAAGGTACTTAGGCATTCAGACAGGTTAACAACTAACTTAAAATTTCTTTTGAGGCTGGGCACTGGTGGCTCACATCCGTAATTCTACATACTCAGGAAGCTGAGATCTGAGGATTGGGGTTCAAAGCCAGCCCCAACAGGAAAGTCTGTGAGACTCTTATCTCCAATTAATCAATAAAAAGCTGGAAGTGGAGCTGTGGCTCAAGTGGTCAAATGCTCACTGTGAGTAAAAAAATCTTAGATACAACATATGGACTCTGAGACTATCACAAAAAGAAAAAACTCTTTTGTAGAAACTTGAAAATAAAGAGACTTTAGTTTCAATAAAGATTGTCAATTGCTGCACGGTACTTTACTAATTTAATAGGTAATTCTCCATGGAGAGCTATTCAAACATCTTATGGATTAATTTAAAATAACTTCAAACATTAACAACTAGTTTGGTAAAGTCTAATACATTATAATGCAATACACCCTTCAGAGTCAATTGCTTACTCATATCTTTTACATTTCAATAGAGAAAGAAAGTAAAACTAGACAGGAAGAGGTTTATAAAGTACAATGAAGGGTTAGAACAAATTTGCATCTTTCTCTGGTTGATAAAGCTACCTTGCCTTCCACAATTTCTGACCTGGCAAACTTGTAATTGCTCAGTTTCAAACTTAGTGAAAAAATGAGGCCCAATTCCCCATGCTTTGGGAACTAATGAGTAAGTTTAACTGGTTGTCTTCTATTAACCCAGGGACACTGTGCCAAGGTGTGAACCAGATGAGTGGTTAAGCCCAAATAACATGCAAAGTTTAAAAAAACAAAACAAAACAAAAAACTATCAGAAAAAAAAAAAAAGCCGGGCACCGGTAGCTCATGCCTATATACTCAGATCTCAGGAGGCTGAGATCAATACTCAGATCCTGAGATCTGAGTATTGTGGTTCAAAGCCAGCCTGGGCAGGAAAGTCTGTGAGTCCAAATAACCACTAGAAAACCAGAAGTGGCGCTGTGGCTCAAGTGGTAGAGCTCTTTCCTTGAACTGAGCTGAGCAAGAGGGCCCAAGCCCAGAGTTCAAGCCCTATGATGACAAAAAAAAAGAAAAAAGAAAAAACCTGCTACTACTATTAGAACTCTGGAAGGCTTTAAAACTTTTCTTCCATGCCAGCAATGTGGTACTGCCTTCAGACCTGCCTGTCTCTTCCACCCTTAGAAGTGTGCAGAACTGATCAGAAAATGTGGTAACTCTCCCTTACCACCTACCTGGGGCAGGGATGGCACTGTGAGTGGGGGAGGCAGCCAAGCCCAGGTGACTTCCTGAGACTGGCAAGGCATTGCTCACAGAGGATGAAGTCAGTTGCTCCATCCCCACTGGGCTCAGGTTCATTTCATTCATCCTAGGAAAGAGCACACACAATCAGTTAAACAAAAAAATTACCTCAGTGATTCCATTAAGTTATCCAAGAGTCTGAATTTGTAGGGATGGAGGGACTGAATCTGATCAACTACTCATTTTGGAGGTCACAACTCTGAGATGGCTGATATCCTATTCTCTCTAGAGGAAACAGAAACAGAGGTTTATAACTCATGTCAGTGTCATACAGCAGTGACAGACACTACCCAAAGCAAAGTCCACAATCTATACAGCACACTGGCAAACACAGTTTGTTTTTAAATTATCCAGCATTTTGATCTCAATAGTTATTGTCTCTAACAGCTTATTACTTCATATTGGTAGTTTTTTTTTTAGGCACTTTGTTTAAAACTATGCAAAAACGAACTCATCTCTTTTATCAGCAGTTAAGGTGATACTGGGTCTCATCAATATCATCAATGGTGTGAAGCACTGTATTTCCCCTAAGGTTTAGTACTTTAATATAATCTCATCGATATCAAGGTTCACTATGTAAGTTTTGTTGTAACTTTATTAAAATGTCCTTCAAGCCAGGCGCCAGCAGCTCATGCTTGTAATCCTAGCTACTCAAGAGGCTGAGATTTGAGGATTGCAGTTCAAAGCCAGCCCGGGCAGGAAAGTCCATGAGACTCTTATCTCCAATAAACCACTAGAAAAAAAACCAGAAGTGGCGCTGTGGCTCAAGCAGTAGAGCGCTCGCCTTGAGCTGAAGAGCTCAGGGACAGCGCCCAAGCCCAAAGTTCAAGCCTCATGACCAAAAAAAAAAAAAAAATGTCCTTCAAATCCTCAGACAACATCGGCAAAATAAGGCAGATAAGGAAACTAAGGTTCATGAGGCTGGGCACATGCGCCAAAGCAGCACAATTCAGTGACAGCCCAAGACTTCCCACAAAGCACTGCCAAAATGGTTTTAACGCACCAAAGTTATAAGACACACAGTCCATGAGGACTGAAGAATCAATCACCTTCCCTATGCAATCTATCTTAAAGTACACTAAAAACATCTAGAGCATAAAAGTAATACTGACCTGAGCAAGCCATTATTGGAAGCTATTATCAAAAAGAACTGGATTGAAGCCGGGCACTGGTGGCTCACATCTGTAATCCTAGCTACTCAGGAGGCTGAGATCTGAGGATCACGGTTCAAAGCCAGCCCAGGCAGGAAAATCCGTGAGATTCTTATCTCCAATAAACGACTAGAAAACCGAAGTGGCACTGTGGCTCAAGGGATAGAGCGCTCGCCTTGAGCTGAAGAGCGCAGGGACAGCACCCAAGCCAGAGTTCAAGCCCCACGAAAGACAAAAAAAAAAAAAAAAAAGAACTGGATTATAGTGAGAGTTTAGGCACTGTCATCATAATCATCATTTAAAGAGGCTGGCCAGCAAGTATTTAAGTAGGTCTCTAATGACCTCTAGTGCTTACTTGGCATCATGGTGACACATCTTCTCTATGTGCTAGGGTACATGGAGCAGCTGGGTTAAGGCTATATGGTAGACAGTACATTGACCAGGTACAGGGGGCTGGGCAGGGATGGGAAGCAGCAAGGGAGACGAATCAAAAGGAGCTACACAATAGAAGCATACTTAAATAGGTTTTTAAGTCAGGCACCGGTGGCTAACACCTGTAATCCTAGCTACTCAGGAGGCTGAGATCTGAGGATCACTGCTCAAAGCCAGCCCAGGCAAGAAAATCCATAAGACTCTTATCTCCAATTAACCACTAGAAAACCGTAAGTGGCGCTGTGGCTCAAGAAGTAGTGCACTAGCCTTGAGCTGAAGAGCTGAGGGACAGTGCCCTGGCCTAGAGTTCAAGCCCCACGACTGACAAAAATAAATAACAGGTTTTTAATTCTGAAAAACAGCAATGACATCAGTCAACATGAAACTAGTAATAGGTACACATGCTGTACCTTGCCATATATAATGCATTGGTTTACATGATTTACATCTCTCTCTTAATCCTCATATTTTAAGACAGACATTCTTAATCCTGAGGAAACTTGGGCTAAGAAACTTGACTCAAGATCCCATAACTAGTCAGAAGCAGAGTTAGGATTCTTTTTTTTTTTTTTTTGGCCGTGGGGCTTGAACTCTGGGCCTCGGTGCTGTCCCTCAGCTCTTCAGGTCAGGGCTAGTGCTCTACCACTGAGCCACAGCACCACTTCCGGGTTTTTTTTTCTGCTTATGTGGTGCTGAGGAATCAAACCCAGGGCCTCATGCATGAGAGGCAAGCATTCTACCACTGAGCCACCTTTCCAGCCCAGACTAGGTGTTTTGATAAGATTTTAATTGGATGGAGCAATATAAAATCCATTATCCTTACCAGAAAAAAAAAAAGCTAAAGCCACACAGCAAATGAAGTACATCATACATACATTTTTATTATTCTATTAAAGAATGCAAAACTCCTATAGCCCAAAGAAGCCATAAGCTACCATAAGGCATCTGCAGGCTAACTTAGTGTTGAGTTTCTGGTCTTCAACTGGTTTACGAGACTTTTATAAGTTTTTATAGGGGCAATCCTATCTAAAATAATCACTGGAGCCAATGAACTACAAGAAATTTGTTAAAATAACTTTTTTTAAAGTAAATATCAAAGTTTTTAACTTCAATTTCCATTTTGAACCTTCCTGAATATTCATCTGTGTACTGAATCTCAAAATCAAAATGTTTTTATTCAAACCAGTTCAAACGAGAGTTTAAAGCCAGCAGCTCAGCAGATTGCTGCTTTGCTGTGAGTCCCTAAAATGTGATGACCTCAGCAGATAGAAACCAAAGGTAACTAGCATCCTACAGGCAGAGGAAGGGAATGTACATTAGGATCCTCTTGAGACTTCCCATTCCAAAGTTCAATCCTAACTCCCTCCTCATAAGGGAATCTCAGAAGCCAGCTTGCAAGAAAAGCTAAAGTCAAGATACTAAGTCCTCTCCTTTTACTCATCTCTGATAAAAATCATTTCCTCTATTCTCCTACGGTTTAGCTTCTAGCCAACCTGTGGAACCATTGCTAGCTGTTTATCTCACATCTCTTTCTTGGAATAAAAGAGGCAGCTAAGCAAAATGCAGTCACTCTGAAAAATATAAATTTCAGTAATTTCAACCAATTTGTGTTTTAGCCTCCTAATTCTTCTAAACATACAGCTTTTGAAAGGATTCTGCAGTAACAGCCATTGACATTACATGCAGAATTCTATACTGTACTGGCATGGCACTTTAAACAATGGAAGCTTGGGGGACGCTAGTGTGGTGGTGCACAACCATAATCCCAGGAGGTGGAGACAAGGGGATAGTGAATTTGAGGGCAATCTGGGCTACACAGTAAAACTCCATCTCCAAAAGAAATGTCAGTCCTGCACTGGTGGCTCATACCTGTTAGTCCTAAACTGCTTGGGGAGAGGCTGAGATCATGGTTTGAAGCCAACCCAGGAAGAAATCCTAATCTCTTACAGAAGGACTTGCCTCCTCTTTAACCATTCTTTCTACTTTTCCAAAGCTGGAATATGAAGGAATTAACCTCACCCTATTGTCCCGGGCACATACAGACACTAGGCAAGACCCCAGGTATGCATAGCAATACAACTGGGCAAGCCCAGCTGTACTCATTCCACTGTGGGCCCAACCAAAAAGCTCCCAACTACCTGGCTTTCTCATTAACCTTCTTGCTCAGATTCTCATAAAGCCCAGCTCACAGTCTCCAAGCCCGCAGGAAGGCTGCGTCCCTTGCTGCTCTATCTCAATAAACTGTCCTCGCCTGTGGAATGATGGAATCCGGCCTATTTCCTTCCTTTCTCCTCCATTTCTCCCAACGCTTAACCACCTAATAGCTAGAAGGGAGGTGTAACTCAAGTGGTGGGGCGAAAAGCCTTGAGTGATGCTATGGGAGAGTGACCTGGCCCCGAATTCAAGCCCCCAGTACTGGCACATGCACATGCACACGCGCGCGCGCACACACACACAGACTCGCACACTTTTTTCTTTATTTTCGTTTAATATGAAAGCTTGCAAGAATTAAGAACTCTTAACCTAATCCTTCGAGCCTACCGTTCCTGCCAAACTCCAGGTGAAGCACGACGATGACGTTAAAAAAAAGAAAAAGAGACGACGTTTTCCTGATTGAGGGAATCGACGACGAAATAACACGTCGACCTAGGAAAAGGCTGTCACCCGAGATGACTTGTCGTGTGTGACCCGAGAGAGGTCAACCACGATGAACGAAGAGCGTTACCCTCCAACCCAACCCCAGCTCCGGGACGTTTCTGTCGTGGCCTTGGGGACCCAAAGCCTCGTTGCACATCACCCCCCCCCGCAACCCTCTCGGTGGTCCCGGGCCGCGTCCCGCGCGCCCCCACGCACCTGTGATGCATCTGCTCGCGGCCGGGCGTCGGAGAAAGCAGCGCTGGGGCGGCGGGGCCGCGGCATCAGGCGGCGCGTCCGGCGTCACGTGCTAC